GACAAGCGGTGTGTCGGTGCACGCCCAGGATCTGAACCCCGGCCGCCAGTAGCGGAGCGCGCGCACTTAACCGCTAAGCCACGGGGCCGGCCCCCTCCTGGTGTTCTTTAATGCTCCCTGTGGGTCTGAGATTTCATCTCGTATAATTTACTCTTTTAAACCAAAAGGACTTCCTTTAGTGTTTCTCACAGTGTAGGCTTTCAGACAATGCTTTTTATCAGCTTTATTTATCTAAAAATGTTTTCATTTTTCCTTCAATTTTGAATGTTGTTTTTGCAAACTATAGAATTCTGAATTAATATTTTTTTTTTCCTTCAGGACTTTAAAAATGAGGTTTGATTGTCCTCTGACCTCCATTTTATCTGAATAGAAGTCTGGCAACCTTTTTCTCTTTGGTACCCTCTATTTACTGTGTATTTTTCCTTCCTATTTCTTTTAAGATAGTCTATTGATCTTTGTTATTTAGCAGTTTGACTCTATCTGTGTGATGTGTGTGTGTGTGTGTTTAGGTTGTGTTTATCCTGCTTCGGGTTTGTTGAGATTGTTGAATTGTAGGCTAATAAAATAAATCACTAAATTTGGAAAAATTTCAGCCATTTTTCCCTCAATTTTTCTGCCCCACTTTCTATCTTATCATTCTGGAACTCCAATTTCACATGTGTTGGGCCACTTGATACTGTCCCACGGGCTGCTCGGGTTCTGTTTTTTTATTTTTTTTTTCCATCTTTTTCTTTCAATGTTTTACTTTTGATAATTTTGATCTATCTTAATTATTTTGAGCTATCTTAATTCATCGATTTCAATAATTGGCAGTTTCCAATCTGCTATTAAGGCCGTCTATTAAATTCTTTATTTCAGATTGTACTCTTTAGTTCTAGAATTTTCATTTGCTTCTCTCTTATTTAATTTAAGATTAAATAATTAAAATTTTTAATTTTAAAGATTTAATTTTTAAAATTAAAATCTCTTAATTTAAATTTAAAGTAAATTTGTTATTAATTTATTAGAAATTTAAAATTTCCCTTTCTGGTGAGATTCTTCATCTTGTCCATCCTTTCCCTTGCACATCTTATTCATCTTTCTCTTTAAATCCACGAAAATATTTATAATAACTATTTTTAAATCCTTGTGTGCTAATTCTAACATCTACGTGTCTTTGGACCTATTTTTATTGGCTGCTTTTTGTCTTGATTATGGATGACATTTTCCTGCTTCTTCACGTGTCTGGCAATTTTTAATTACATGCTGTTCATTCTGGATGATATATTTTAGGAAGTCTTGATTATGTTGCAGAGTTTTGAGGGCTGAGTTTTGTTCTGACAGGAAGTTAAATCACTAGAAGATCCTCTTGACCCTCTCAGGCCTGGTTTTAGACTTTTCTACGGCAGGTATAATTCGGTGTGTTCTTTACTCAAGGTTGGGGTCCTTACTCCTTTGGTGTGTTCTTCTGGAACATCAGTTGAATGCCTGAGATACTCGGAGAGTTTTGTCCACTCTGGATGGGCTCTGACTTCAGTGTCCGTTAATATTGAATGACTTCCGGTATCTCCATTCAGCTCTTCATCCCCTAGCAGCCACTTGCTGCTAGCCTCATGGGATTTCATCCTGCGTGTGTACAATGCAGTGCCCAGCAAATACTTGATAGGAACTTTTACACAGACTTCTGCACTCTCCCTCATACATCTTCTTCCTTTCTAGAACACTGTTGTGCAAATTCCAGCTGCCTAAACTCCATTTAGATATGCCACTTGTGCCTCAAAGCTGACGTGTCTAGAGCAGAACACAGTATTTCCTTTTTTAATTCTCTCTTCCTTCTCTACTCTCATGCTCAGTTGGTGACATAACCCCACTACCTAGCCTTTTTTTGACACCTTCTCTTTTATAGCCCTGTGACCACCAGCTCCAGTCAATTTGTCTTTGACTACGTCTTCCCTCTCTTTGTCAGTGTGGCAGCAATCTTAGTTTCTTAATTGTCCTTAATTTTATGGTACCACAGCACTTTACTAATGTTTCTGGTAGAGCACTTATATTTTTTATTGTAAGGCAATGCCTCGCGTTCAATAAATAATTGTTAATTGTATGAAGGAATGAAGGGGTATTGTGTATGCATCTGCTTCACCTGTCAGACAGCTCATTTTGAGAAGAGACAATAAAATACAGGGCAGATAATAGGTATTTAATAAATGTTTATTGAATAAATAATGACATTATTATCTTATTAATTTTTTGCATAAATAGGGCAGGTCACCTGGATTAGTGGATATGTTATGCCTTATTTGGTCTTCGGATTGTGTTCAGTATTTCCCAACCTACCTTAGACCATTTTTTGGGAGGACAAGTCAGGGAAAGTCCACTTTCAAGTATGCCGACATACTGGATCATCTTATATGCAAGGACATTTAGTTTTCTTAAAACAGCAAGAAAAACAAAAGCAAGAAACGTTTATCTGTACTGCCACCATTTTCAGTTTTGCAGATGTCCTCAGTTTTTTCTTAAAATGATGACTTTTGGAGCTAATAAATACATTTAATGAATTAACAGAAATAAAAGTAATTGTAGACATTTGTACTATGCCAGAGACGTAAAATTTATTAGGAAGATCATGAAGAAACTCCTTAATTTCCAGAAAGATACCACCCAAGACTGGAAACAGTATTCCCAAAGCACCCAAAGAAAGATACACTTTAATATGAAGGAATTGAACAACTTTGGAAAGCTGATAGGCATCTACCTGCTCAAATTGCCCTTGGTTACTGATATCTGCTACATGGCCATTGAAAGTCTCTTCGTTTCTTTTGGGGGGGCTGTCAATGATAGCACCATCCTTGCCCCAACTTCAAAGCAGAATCAATTAGTTGCAGATGTTGAGACAGATGAACACCAAAGCTTCTGGGTTGACTCTTTTAGTGTCAGACACTGAGCAAAGCAGCCGTGGGTCAGCAGTATCTTGGGATGCAGGGCTCACAGGTGGGCTGGGTGAAGGTTGTGAGGTTGAGGGTCTCCAGGCCTGGGGTGGGCTGGGAGGAGTTGAGCAGGAAGCAGGTGGGCACGCAGGGCTGAGGAACGTGGCAGGGTGGGGGGCAGTTGTCACAGCAGGTTGGCTCCAGTAACCAAACAGTGTGTGGGCAGGTGCTGGGCAGGCAGACTCCACACCGGCAGAGTTTATCAGAAGAGCAGATGGTGGTGGCGGGGCCGGTGGGGACGCTGCAGCGGCAGGGAGTGCAGCAAGCCATGGCGCTTGGAATCTGTGTTTTTTACTGGTTTGGTTGTAAAGACAGATGAGCCTTCTGAGGTGCGAATGTCTCTCCTTGCTCTGGGGCTCTTATATATCCTCCCCACTGGGTGTGGGTCCAACCAGAAGGCTTCTTTCCTGGTTCTTGTTTATGTTAGTGTATCCATTATCCTTTGATTGGTTTGACATTTAGATGCTAATAAAGAGTCTCTATTCTCCTAATTAACATTTATTTGAGTTCCTTGCTAAATCTGTACTGATTACTCTTGCTATTTGTCACTGGAACACAAGCTTTATGAGTTATCAACAAAAGCGTCTGCTATTGTAATTCCAACACCAATCCTGCTGGGGAATATTGCATGACAACACAGCTGTAGTATGTAGATCTTTTCTCTAGTGCTGGTCAGTTTTTATTCTCTTTCTCTTTATCTATCATCAATTGGTCTGATGAAGTATTTTTGTTTTAAAGAGTTGAACTTAATTTTAGTAACTCTTTTAGCTTTGGGACTTTTAAAAAATTTAATTTCTTTTTTATTGAGATATAATTGATATATAGTATATTAGTTTAGCATTACACTTTTGAAGATCAAACTTACATTAATATGGAGAAATATGCTATTGAGAAATACAGGCAGAGTTTTAAAAAAAAACCTATTCCATTTTTGACTATAAAATATTACATATTCATTGAAAAATTTGGACAATATAGAAAAGTATAAAGAAAACAACTTATCCATAAACATCATCAGGAGAAATTCTCTATTGGTATTTACATACATCCCTCTAATCATTTTTCTATACATTTATCATTTTATTACATTACTGGAATCATATTGTACTTACTGTTTTATAACTTGCCTTTTTGTTTGAAATGTATATACTTTCAATATCTTGTATTCTTAAGTACATTTGATAATGCTATTTTTAATGTTTCCTAGCATTCATCATATAATTATACTTCTAAGTTACTTAAAAATTTCATACTGTTAATCATTTAAGTTTTTTTCAAGCTTTCTCTATCATAATTGTGGCAAAAGAGAACAGCTGGGTTTTCTTTATGCACACTTCTGATTATTTCAGAAACAGAAATAATTATTGGGAAGAATTATTGAAGCAAGTTTTAATTAACAATATTTTAATCCTTTGATCTTCATTGCTATACTGCCCTCTGGAATAGTTCTGTTTACCTATTTCTTTCTAATTATGTATTCCCACCAACTATGTTTGAGAATGCCTGTTTCCCTATACTTTTCATGGTTATTTTATTTTAAAAATGTTTGCCAATTTAGTGGGTGAAAAATGAAATTTCATTATTGTTGTATTTGTATTTTTTATAACTAGGTAAGTTAAATCATTCTTTCCTATGTGCATTGGACATTTATCTTTCTATTGAGAACTGACTTGCTTTGTTTCCTTCAGGGCTAAGTGTGGGAAAGCTGAATTTTTAGCTTATGTCTACCTACTAAGTAAAAGAATAATTTAAGACCACAATACTAAAATTCAAATGAAATTGCTACCAATGGAAAGCGAGGTTATGGGCCGAAGCTAGATTAATCTGTCCACATTTGATTTCATTCACTTTTTTTCTTTCAATGTAGTGCATTTTCTCCCCAAATCAAATGTAGCTGTGATAGGAAAGACCTTGATTCTAATTCTAGTCCACCATTTAGGCTTTGGGCATAGTCCAGTATTCAAGAGGGAGCACAGGTGGGCTCCTGTCCAGGATCATCTTGATGCCTCAAGCCATTTCTACTCAACTTTGACTCACTCATTCTTCAAGCCACGGTTCTTCTCATTTTCTTCCCCCCTCCTCTTTTAAGTATGCCTGTATATCAGTGCATGATGGTGGGCATGTCTGTGTGGTTTTATGGAGGGGGTGTAGAATCGAGAGGACCACATTAGGAGTCAGAAGAGCTCTTTACTGGTCCCAGTACTGCTCGTTAGTTACCTTCCTTGTTATGGCAAGTAATTCACTCTTTGGAGGCTTATCTTTTTCCTCTGCAAAAGAAGGGTAATAATATCTACATTCTTCTACTCAGAAGATTATTGTGCGGCTCCTGTCAGATAAAATGGGTTAAAGTCCATAGACAACCATAGAGTGCTACACAACGATAAATTATCATCATCCTTATCCAAGTAAGTTGCAGGTCAAACTCAAAGTAAGGGAAAGGGGAAAGAAATATACTCCAAAGAAGAAGGAAATTAGCTGAAGGTAAGTAAAAGAGCCACCTAATAGGATAGAGCAAATATTTATCTAAATGTTCTCACATGCAATTTTAGAAAATGGCTGGCACAGAAATTAATAAATTTGAAATTTTAAAAAAGTTCTCTATGGCTCTGCTTGGAAGAAAGGATTCATGATCTCTACTGGTGTCCCTAGGCTTCATTCAGATTTATCTTTGAGTGAATACTTGCCAAATTTTCACTTTTACTTTTACTTAGGGCTGATTAATATTTTCAGTACTTTAAAAATAATTTAGTAAATATTTATCGAGCGGTTACCACGTACCAGGCACTGGGATAAATGTTGGATATACAGCAGTGAACAAAATAGGCGTCATCCTTGCTCTCATGGAACTTTGAGGCTGGTAGAAGGTTTATCATTACATAATACATTATTATAAATTACTGTTATTATACAGCATGATAAGAAGGAAAAAGACTGAGTTATAAGAGCAAAAAAACAATAAGCAGAAGTAAATTATTTTGACATTTTAAGAAAAACATTACAAAGGGTCTTGCAGACTCTCAAAATTAGAATTTTATGGAAGATACATTCCCTTATTTAGAATGCAATATTACTTTGACCCAACCATATAAAGTTAAAGGAATTGTTTCCATAATTATAAATAAGACTTAATTTAAGGGTACAGATTAGAAACAATTGTAAAATAACAAGTTTATGATAATAAACTCATCTCTTTTATTGAAACTCATCTGCAGTACTTTATTAAAATTTGTTTTCTCTGCAATGGTCTAAGAGACCGGGGAATAACTCTCTTTTGTTTATAAATTAGGATAGTGAGGTGAGATGATTCGCCTTAGATAGCCTGGTAACTGACTTGTTAAAAACAAAATTTAGAACCTACTGGGACTGAGCTACCTTTTATGTGATTTAAAATGGAAGTTTAAAGTATGTCACAGACTCAAAACGTATTTTATTTTTAGCAACAAAGGGTACGTTTTTCCTTTAAGCGAATACATGGAAAACATGGTGATTCTTGATTAGATGGTCAATTTTCAAAGTGCTGAAAATTTACATACACGCAAACACATCCAAGAACTTGCCAGTTTTAATTATATTTTTCTATAGTCAGTGGGGGTACTGACTCGTCATCTTTTAATGCTTAGCCTGGGTAGCTCGGAGGCTTTCCATAACCATCCCTTGCCCTGACACTGAATCAGCAAATCTGGGTTTTAGTTACTCTTTCTATGTGCTTGCCTGGCATGCTGCTCACATCTCAGTCTCAGCAGAAATCACACAGCATTATAATTATATTCATACAATATATATAGGGCACATATATTGTTATTATAATAACTTGTCTGTCTCCTTAACCAGATTTGAGAGAAACTTGAAGGCGCTTTAGGTAATAATATTTTTTTTTAATGTTTATATTCCTAGCATGGATATGGATCCTGGCATGGAGGAAGCACTCAAAAAATATTGGCCAAGCTAATGAGTAAATGGACTAAATCCGTTGTTGACAGTGTTCTAGGTTGTGTCCCATCTACCCCATGGCTTCTGGCTTCTAAGTCCTATTCATTCAAAGTTGAGCTACTACTAAGCCTATGAGCTGCCCTGAGAAGTCCTTCTGTGGAGATACTGACAGACACACTGAGGACATTTAAAAACAGGTTATTTAAAGGCATTGTGTCTTTATATTTATATTATACATGTATATGTATTGTATATATGTATATACGTATTGCATAAATGTACATATTACACATATAATATATATACATCATCTCTCTAACATTGGGAAAAGGATAATCTGCCCAAGATAAAATTAAGGATGTTGGTAAAATGAAGTAGTAGATTAAATCATGTTTAATCAGAGTTCTAGCTCTAGTTCTCAGCCTATCACCTAAAAATATTGGCATGCTATTGATTACTGGAGCAGAACTTCCGTGCTGAGCATGGGGGCCAGTAGAGACATATCCCCAGTGCCCTGCTACTGCAGTTGACCACTGTAAGTTCTCTCTAAGGGAAAATGAAGCCGAAATTGGTAGACTCACTAAATGATCCTGATCTTAGAATTGAATACGTGCCACTTTTTATCTATGAGCTAATATATCCTTTTCTTTTACAATTGGATGTGATGATTTTGTTAAAGAGTCTTACATTTTTTATTTCTCTTGCATATTTTAAGTTAATGTCATAACCGTGTTCATTAAGCTTCTGGCTCTTTTAGTGTTGGAGGCTCTGTGATGTGGTGGAAAGAATTGAGCTTTAAAGTCAGACATACAAGGAGCTGAATTCTGGATTTCTTAGTAACTAACTTTATGACTTTGAGAATGATGAATAACTCTTAAAGCTTCATTTTTCTCATTGATTAGTGCTGTTTTAAGGATTACATGAGTTAACACATGTGATTTACCTAACAAAGTGTAGGTAAACAAATGTTGGCTCACCCCAAAATTGTATGTGTGTGAGGAAGAAGAGAGAGGAGAAGGTGAGCGTAAAAGATAACCAATTTAAAGTTAGCAAGCCATGTTGGTAACCAGTTCCAGTCATTCCTCTAATAGATTCTTTTTTAAAAAATAAAATAATCATCTTATATTTACCGTTTTAAAATGAAAGAAATATACCAAAAATGCTAACATAAACAAAGAACACGTCTTGCCAGAGAAATAAGTTTATTGGAAAACTCATCAAGAAATTTTTTCCTCTATGAAAATACCCAATACAAGAAATGGGATCCAAGAAGCAACATGACCAAGAAAATATAGTCTAAGGTCTTAAAGATTTCAATGGTATTTTGATAATAGATGACATTCATCTGCCCACATGAACCAAACGGTTATTCAACCAAAATTTCTTGATTTTCTTTCCATTAAAATGAAAGGTAGGTTGTCCGTATCTGGGCCATCTGGGCCTCAACATCTGATGAACTACTGAGGCAAGTGAATACTGAATAGATAGCTTCTGGGGTCTTCAGTGTCAGGCACTGAGCAAAGCAGCCATCGGTCAGCAGCATCTCGGGATGCAGGGCTCACAGGTGGGCTGGGTGAAGGTTGTGAGGTTGAGGGTCTCCAGGCCTGGGGTGGGCTGGGAGGAGTTGAGCAGGAAGCAGGTGGGCACGCAGGGCTGAGGAACGTGGCAGGGTGGGGGGCAGTTGTCACAGCAGGTTGGCTCCAGTAACCAAACAGTGTGTGGGCAGGTGCTGGGCAGGCAGACTCCACACCGGCAGAGTTTATCAGAAGAGCAGATGGTGGTGGCGGGGCCGGTGGGGACGCTGCAGCGGCAGGGAGCACAGCAAGCCATGGCGCTGGGAATCTGGTTTGCTTTTGCTTTCTTGGAAAGAAAGATGATGTTTCTGAGATGCAAATGTCTCCTCTCGCTTTGGGGCTCTTATATACTCTCCCCGCTGGGTGTTGGTCCAACCAGAAGGCTTCCTCTCATTTTTGTTTATGCCACCCTTTTTCACTAAGATTCTCTAATAAGTTTGGTATTTACTTGTTCATTAAGAGTTCCTGCTTTTATTGAAATAATCATGTTTTTGACTCATTGACTTGTCATTTTTGTCATAAGATCACCTTTTATCTTTACAGGGTCCTGGAATGAACCTTATGTGAATTATGGATAACCAGTCCAAGTGATGATTCAGCTATAGTTTCAGAGGCTAAATTCTTATCCTTGTTTTCTTTCCCCTTAATTTAAAATAATACGCATAACGCGATTTTTAATTACTAATTTCAGAACACGCAACTTGAATGATTAATTGGACCATTGTCTACTCAATAAAGTCAACAACGACATGACTACTTATAGAAGAATGTTGCATATGACTATATGCATCTCAGGCATATTTTCCTTATTTATTGATGATATAATTCAGATTCTATTGAGCAAGCAAGGTGACAGCCAGAATGAAATAAGATGAAACCCCTTTTCATTATTTTTAATAAATCTGTAGTGTGTTTCCAAAGGTTGTATTACTCTATGGGTTTGTTTGTCGAGAAACTTTGTTTTTCAAAGTGATGCCAATCTTGTAGTGAGTCAAAGTGTAAATTCACTGGAAGGAAAGCTCCATCCGGTTGCTATCTTTTGTTAAATGTACCTTTAAAAGAAAATCACCTCAGTCTTCATTTATTTTCACAAGAATATATACTTAAGTTTAAAGTAAGATGAAACAGGAACTAAAAGGAGAAATCATAATATTCACAAAATAACAGTGGGTTCTGGAAGGGGATCCAATGTCATCCAGAATTATGGCATTCATAGAAATCATTTTTTTTCACTGACTTACTTTCTACTTTGTGTGTTTGTTTGTTTTCCTATCTTGGGTCTTCAATTAGGTTATAAACTCCTTTGAGGAATGCCGTATACAATATTCTTCACCTCAATTGACCTTGTTGCCTTATTGGAGGTTGGCAGATGAGCAAGTTGGGCCGAATAATCTCCAATGTGTAATGTTCTATGATTCCAACAACTTCACACACTTTGTCGTGATCAGCACAAAACTACTCAGATAGTAGAATCTAAATTACATAATTTGTTGGATGGCAAATGGTTGAATAAACACAAAGTACAGATTCCTTGGTGGGCTGTTTCTGAGGAGACATTACTGAAAACCAATTTGGCTTTTTAAAGGAGAAGAAAGCACTGCTAAAACAAATCAGTGGAAAATATCAAATGTCACTGATGAGTAAGCCTCAAGCATTTTACAAGAGGAAGAACTTGTTAGTGCAGTTGATTTGATTTTTGCTTAAATATTGATATTTATCCTAACACACATCAAATAAAAATGAAGGTTGGCATCTCCTAGGTACCTTACACCTCAGTGACCATGATCATATTGTTTCTTTTGTTGTCCCCGGTTCTCTACTTCTCAAACCCTGCTCGTCCCTCAAGCATCAGCCTAAATATATCCTTCATAAAGAAACTTTAGGTGGTTCTTCTGGATGTTTTCATTCTTTTCTCTGCTCTCACAGAGCATGCTGCATATCTTTTCATTTAGACCTTATGTCATTCTGCTATATATTATAGTTTATCATTTGTAGTTTTCTTCCCCACTCCAATGCAAACTCCTTGGATGTGGCAATCATGTCTTAATCTTTGTCTCTGTCAAGCACTTACGACAATACTTGGAGCATAGTAGGTATTTGATAAATAAATGTTTATTGAATTGGATTAAATTACAGATTACAATGAAAAAATGTATGTATTTATTTTCAGAATAGTCCCTTCTAATGATAATAACACTTTACATAAGCAGAGTGATTCATTTCATTTGTGAAATGCTTTACAGTTGTCAAAACAGTTTTACATTCAAAGCTTCACCCAAATGAGACAATGAAAAAATATGGCTCAGCTCAGTCTTTGGGGTCCATTCCAGGAGCATGCTGATCGCCGATTGCCAGTTTCTGAGCCTCTTTAAGGATGTATGTGAGTTACTTAAAGAGGCATGGAAAAAATTAAAATTAAAAGTAGGAGCTGACCTTGTAACTTAAAATGATTCTAAGCTTAGAGCTTAATCTATTTTATTATCCAGGCAATTTTCTTCCAGTTGTGAGGCCTCCTTTTGGCTATGAGATTTATGTTGATGTCATCAGAAAGTGTAATTCTGCTGGACACATTTACAGGTTTACGATTCAGGCACGTGTCTAGAGTCATTGGGTAATTAAAGCATGAAACATTGAGACAGTACGTGGTTTGGGGAACAGTGGTGTTTATTTAGTTTTAAAATAAGGAGGTCCATGGTAGCATTTTTTCCACTTCTCATTTGAAATCATCGTTCAAAACATAGAAGGAACACTTCTGCAAAACTGGAGGCACAGGGTCAGAACATTGTCTTCCAGGGTGTCTAATTACAGGCCATTTGCGGAGCAGCCCTTAATGACTATTGCAGTCCCTTAGAGCAATCTGGGCAAGCTCTTTGAAACAGCTTTGGCTAGCAGCAAGGTGCTTCACACTCACAGGGCTGGACGCAGGTTGTGACAGAGATTCCGCTCAGGTTTGGAGTAGGGTGGTAGCTGTTGAGCAGCCAACATGATGGCACGTAGGAGTCAGGCACGCAGCAGGCTGGGGGGCAGGTGTCGCAGCAAGTGGGCTGGAGGAGGCTGATCTCGTGAGGACAGGTTCTGGGCAGGCAGACTCCACATTGACAGCATAGGTCAGAGGAGCAGATGGTGGCGGCAGGGCCAGTGGGGACGCTGCAGCATCCTTGGAGACAAGACTCACAGCAAGACATGGGGACAGTGATCAGGTAGATTTTTGTTGGAAAAGGAAGATTTCCTTCTACCAAGTTGTCCTCTGTGGGTCTTTTATATCCACCTGTCTCAGGGAACATGGCTTCCATCCACCAGAATGTTTCCTTGTTGTTGTTTGTATAATCCCGTACAAATAACTCACTTACTTCTTATTTATCGTCCACAGGATGAACTCTCCTTCAGTTTTGTTGGTTGTGTTACTACATTCAAACTTGCTTCCTGTTGCAGTTTCAAAATAGTGTCAGTGTAGGTTCTCCACTTACTCGGTCACAGGTACATACATCAGTATCTACCTTGACTTTCCTCTTCTTTACCAACCAGAATTTGTTCTTACAAGTGATCACTGCTGAGTGTAAAGAATCAAGAGTGATTTCCCAAATTTGGGAAAAATAATAATCACCTACCATAGTCTTACTGCAAGAGTTAAGTAAAGATTAAATGAGAATTACTTACATTGTGTGTGGCATAATAGAGTTATCTAATAAATGGCAGTTCCTCTTCTGGGTATTATGAGACTTCCTACAGGAGGAAACACAATGGAAGAGGGCTGAAACCATCAAAGAAACCTTCATGGGGGCTTTGGATTAAGTTGACTTAGAAAAGAGGCAAGTGCGTTTGGGGCAAGGAAAACAATGATTTCTTCTGTGACACTGTTCTGCCCCTACTCTCAGCCCTGCCCCTGGTAGAACTGGCCACGCCCTCCTCGTGCCTCTATTGTACCTCATATCCACACAAATGCAGCACCTACTTTGCTGCATTTTTTGTACACGTGTTTGTTCTCTTTACTAGAATGTAATCTCCTTCAAAACAGGGACTATGCCTCATTTTTCTTGGTTTCCCCAGTCCCTAGCATAGGCCTGGATCATGGGGTGGAGTCTAGAGGCTGGAACACACGGAATAAATATTTAAGGAAATAAGGTTAGAAAATAATGATAACCAGCACTTATGGAATGCTTCTGTATCAAGTTTAGTCAGGAAAACAAGCAAACAAACAAATCCTCATGCAAGGTATTTCAACAGAGAGAATTTTAGGGTAGGAAATTGGTTAAATAGGTGTTGGTAGAGAAGCTACCAGCTCTAGGGCTGGGAAGGAAGAGAAGAGGTTGGGGTTAACTGAACCTAGAACTTGGAAGAGTGGCCCTGCAGAGCTAGGCTCAGACCCCAGGTGCTGCCCAGCTGGTGTTCTTGCCTCAGAAGCTCACAGGGGAGGCCCCAGGGGGCCCAGGCTTTGGACCTTCATGGGAAGGAGGAGGGAGTCACTCCCTTGCTGATGCTGGTGTTTCTAAGGAGGTGCAATGATGCTGTATTTTGGAGTGTGGAAATGTAACTGTGGGCCCTCCGGGACCAGTTCAACTGACCCCATCTTATCAACAGAGTAATTAAGAAATTGTCTTTCAGAAAATTTGCAAAGTCACATAGCCAGAGCATACACAGAAGAAGAAATCTTGACTCAGAACCAAAGATTATCCTCTCCATGGAACCAAAGGACTGGGACATGACCAGAACTTAAAAGTTGGACTCTTATCAGAAGCAAGGGGTCCATCATTCAGGAAGATCCAGGGTTAAAATTGCTTCCTCACCTCATCATAAATGTTTAGAACCTCATCAAAAATGTTTAGAACATTACTGTAAATGCTTGAAGCCCACCAATCAAAACCTGTCCCGCCAGCATTTCCATGTGCCAGCCTGTTTTCCCTAACATCTTAAATTTCACCCCAAATCCTAAACTGGGGAGACAGATCTGAGGGCACATGCCCCCTGTCTCCCTGCAGATCGATTTCACAGAATAAAGCTGATCTCTTTCCCCAAAAGCTGATTCCGTAATTAATTGGCTTGTTTATGTGCATCAGGTAGGAGAACCTCATTTTTGTGTGGTAACAGAAAGACACTGAAGACTAGAACCTATTGTTACTGCCAGATAAAGGACTGTTATGGGGGCGACAAGACCCTTCTTTCTTCCTCAGGCCTTACATTCTCCTTCCAGCGCCCTCTGTTGATGGAATCTAGTAGAAAACCAGCCAAAGGAGAAACAGCACCTGAACCCAGCATTATAGAGTATAAAACGGTGGACTTAGAGGTTGACAGTCAGCACAACTTGTTCTAAAGGCAGGACATGTTTTAATTAATTTAATCTTCACTACTGTTTTAAGAGGTACATACTTCTTTTTTAAATTAGGTTTTTACTTTTGAATTATTTTAGATTTACAGAAAGGTTGTGAAGATGGTACAGCATTCCTGTACACCCCTCACTCAATTTCCCTTAACAATGTCTTACAATACCATTGGATATTTGTCAAAATGAAGAAGCCAACATTGGTACATCGCTATTAATCAATCTTCAGACTTTATTCAGATTATCACTAGTTTTTCCACTAATGTCCTTTTTCTGTACCAGGACCCAGTCTGAGGTACCACATTACACCTAGTCGTCATGTTCCCTTAGTGTCCTCTGGTCTGTAATAGTTTCTTAGTTTTTCCTTGTTTTTCATGACCTGGGCAGATTTGTGGTGTACTGGTCAGGTATTTTGTAGGGTACATACTATTTTTAATCTTATTTAACAGTCGAGGAACCTGAGGCATAGAGAAGTTCAATGACATGACCAAGGACACACAACTAGTAAGTGATAGGGCACAGCAGTCTAGTTGCAGAGACCACTCTCTTGACCATGGTACTGGGGGCATTGCTCTGACTAGAATGTAGGCTGCATGTTGCCCCAAGATTAGTAGCAAGTAAGATTTGGTGAAAACGACTACACCAGGTTATTGAGAGTCTTGAGAGGCACACTGAAGACTTTAGTCTTGATTCAGTAAAAACAAAAATCTTGAATCATCCTAGAGTTTTGAGCAATTAAATTTAATCAATATTGATAGAGAGACAGATGCCTGATCTGACGGAGGTAAAGTTTGAGTGGAGGGAGGGGCACGGAATACTTGATTCAAGGTTGACTAGGAGACTGTGGTTGTGACCAGGGGTGTGGTGACCAGGGTCAGGCTCTAGATGAGGCAAGAGTCAGTGAAGAAAGAAAGATAGTGGAAAGAAAAGATACCAGGAACAATTTGAAAGAAAAATGAAACAACTGGGTTTTCTATTCTATTATCAAGGATAAACAATTATTAACTTTAAGGGTAGTTTGTTTTCACTTTGAACTAGGTTCTTGAAACTCATTAGAAAATTGAAAATGTGTTTGAGTTGCCAAACATTCTGCATTTCAATGCAAGGTTGAAGACCCAGCCAACATTATTCCTGTGCTAATCAGTATTTCAAGTCTGACTTAAAAAAAAAAGATGACTTGTTTTCACTCAGAAACATAAACAGTTTTTCCTAGACTCATTTTGTCTTAAATTATAATCACCACAGAGAGAACTGGGTTACTGTATGCAACTGAATATACAATTCAGAGGGACAGTAGAGAATGTATTGTCACGTGGCACATACTTTCTCCTGGAGAAAGAGGACCAAGTGTAATCGCATCGCTGTCTGCAGGGGAGGCACGTGCTGTGGTGTAGTGGAAAGAGAAGGGACTTCAGATTCAGGCAGTTTTAGGTTTAATCCCTCCTCTGTCACTTACTATTTGTGTAACTTTTGCAAGTAACTTTCTCAGCCTCAGTTTCCTCACCTGTAAATTGGGAAGAATAATGGTAGCTACCTCTTAGTGTTTTTGTTAGAAATAAATGAGATAATGCACAGAAAGCACCTATTAGAGTGCCCAATAGATTCACCAAACGTTAGCTATTAGGTATGAAAGCAGTAGAAGTAATACGGTGGGGTGGGGTTGGTTAGTGGCCTGGAGTATTTGTTACTTAAAATGCTTCTAGGTAATCTAGAACCATACAGCGTCAAAACTGAAAGTGACTTTCGGGAGGATCTGGTCAACCAACCCATTTTACTGATCTAAGACCTGAGACCCAAAGAACTCAAGTGACTTGCTCAGGATTGCAGAGGCAGCCCCAGGCAGAGCCAGGACTAGAACACACATCTCCTGGTTTCCATCTGGGGCTTTTTAACTAGCCGAAGGTCCTTGAATGCCTAAAGGCCCACAGAGGTAGTAATAAGACATTTAGAGTTATTTGTAGTATTAAAAGCAAAGTCTAAATATTTATCCCTTATAAGCATGTATGAAAACATCAAACTTCTTTGCTTTTGACTAAAAAAGAGGTAACTTGGCATGGTAACAATGGAGATCTTATATTAATCCTAAAATTCTCACTGGTATTTATAAATGTATTTGTGAGCAAAAATGAAGGCATGAATAAATTATGATTTTTAAAAAGCTATTTGGGAAGAACATATTTTTCAAGAAATAAAAGGATGCCTTTTGGTGAGAAAGCTGGGAACTACCATGTGATGGTGAGAGTCTCTCACATATCTGGAGCACTGCTATGGACACACTGGGTCATTTAATCCTCAAAATAATCCTGAGACATAAACAGGGAAGAGAGTATTATTTCCACTGTAATAATGAGGAAACAAAGGCTGGGAGGGAAGGGAATGGCCCAAAGTCTCAAAGCAAATCCAAGCAAATACACGTCTGGACCTCACTCTGGGTACTTTCTGCAAAAACATTACTGCACTTGGATTTTTCCAGAACAACTAAGGAGATGAATTAATTGTCATCATAATTTTGTCATAAAAGGAACTGTGTATTTTTGCTCCCAGAATTGTGTGCCTATTTCTGGTGTATAGAGAATACTATACTATAGCCTGACATTTTTAGTTTATTTCAATGATGTGATATTATCTGTCACTTGGACTAGTAAACTTCTAAGCATAGTCATGACTAATGTAAACCAAGCCTCATTCGAGGGAGCAAGGAATACTCAATAAATGCTAATATTCATTCAAAACTGATTTTACTAGAAGACAGCATATATCAAGAAATGGATATATATACTTCCCAAAATTGCATTGCATTTTGAGCTTGAAATTTCATTGATGACTATGGCTAAGGGAGTCAAAATTATTTCTACATACCAGCAAAGTGATCAATTTGTTTAGTCAATTAAGGAAAAAAGAAAAATCAATTTCAGGTGTAATGGAAATTAAAATAAATAAAATATTTTGAAAACATTATATTAATCTCTAGATTCTAGCATAGTGCTTGGCATAGTGGTTGCCTTAAAAAAATTCCTATTGAATAAAAAGATCCTACAAAATGACCTACTGAATTTTTTACTTTTCCACCTATCACAAAGAGCCAGTATCTAATTTTTCAATGATTCCTCCATAAGAGCTCTCATTATGCTAGGGTAAATCTTGGGTAGTATGATGATCTGCTGTTCAGGATTAGGTAGGTACTCCACTTTCCCTAAGAGGAAACACGGAAATAAATAACCAGAAGGCCATATTTGCTAAGCCAGAATGAAGTTTATTAATGAATAGTCAAAATGGTTATTTCTCAAAGAGCAGTGAAATAGCCTAAAAGACAGAAAGAAGGTCTCCAACCCTCCCCAAAGGAGGAAAGAAAGAAGAAGTTGGGCAAATTCATGAAAACACGGCCCTGGGAATTGGGATGGATTTAGCCTGATGTAGGTAGGAGCCAGTGTTGAAGGCCGGATGCCCCGTAGGATGTTGAGCAGCACGTCGCTGAACCTGTGCAAGGACGTGGCCCCTTAACAGGAGGGCTGACAGAAATTGTCACAGCCAGGCTGAACGTAGGTCGTCAGGTTGATCCCACTCAGTCCAGGAGTTGGGTATCTGGAGTTGAGCAGCCAGCAAGTTGGCACGTAGGTGTCAGGCTCACAGCAAGGTGGGCGGCTAAGGTCGCAGCAGGTGGGTTGAAGGAGGCTGATCTCGTGAGGGCAGGTGCTGGGCAGGCAGACTCCACACCGGCAGAATTTGTCAGAGGAGCAGATGGTAGTGGCAGGGCCGGTGGGGACGCTGCAGCAGAGGGGAGCACAGCAAACCATGGTGTCAGGAGTCGGGTTTCGGTTGGGTTGAGAAGAGAAGTCTCTTTGTGTCTCAATGCTTCTCTCCTCTGCCTTGGCTCTTATATACCCACCTCCCTGGACGTCAGCCTATTACCAAGATTTTCCCCCCATGTTTCAGTTTATAACTATCTCTATAAAAAGCATCTAATTACTTAAGTGTTTATTACTTAAGACACACTCCTCACCTCATAAAAGGGGTTTAGTTTGTTTTGTCAAATTAGGACTCTTCACATTGGCTGTGTGTCACTGCATGGAGAGCTTCATTTCAGTCTTCAAAGGCACTGAGTCATTATCTTCTAATCATGACACATCATTAATGATGGCCTGGCGTGCTGGGTACCTGCAAATCATCCCCGCGTTTTTTTTTTTTTTTTTTTTGTGAGGAAGATCAGCCCTGAGCTAACATCCATACCAATCTTCCTCTTTTTGCTGAGGAAGACCAGCCCTGAGCTAACATCTATGGCCAATCCTCCTCCTTTTTCTCCCCCAAAGCCCCAGTAGATAGTTGTATGTCACAGTCGTACATCCTTTTAGTTGCTGTATGTGGGACGCGGCCTCAGCATGGCCGGAGAAGCGGTGCGTCAGTGTGCGCCTGGGATCCGAACCGGGGCTGCCAGTAGCGGAGCACGAGCACTTACCCACTAAGCCACGGGCCGGCCCCCGTCCCCATGTTTTTTGCCTACTTTTCAGATGAAGGATAAGTAGGCTTTTTGATTGCTATTCTACCAGCAACCAAAGATTCTACATGATAATTTAGGCCTTCTGGCTGAAAAAGTGATAAAATTTTTAGATGTATCCATCTTGGCTCCAAAAAGCTGAATTAAGATGAATGGATGGAATCTATAGAGAAAGAGATTCTGGTTCTGCATAAAGAGCAAAGCTGTAACAAATCACTTGTTCTCCATTCCCTTCATAAGTGCTTTGAATGATAACTTGGTGGGGGCATGTAGATGGGGAGGTGACAGTTATAGGTGCCCTTTAAAACTCCATCCAGCCATTTTATGAATTAAGATTATTTATGATCCAAAGACTAGTCGTATTGGGCCATTTAGAGACTAAACGGTGCAGTATTTCCCAAAATGAGTTCCATGAACACCTGTCCCAAGGAACATTAAAGGGTTTTCTGGTAAATAAGTTGATACTGAATTCTTCATTAGTGGACCTCTCAGAGCCTTTAATATACTAAAGTGCTGTGTGACTTTTCAATAAAGAGATATAACATGTATTTGTTTCCAAACTTACTTAACCATGAAATCATTTTTGATTGGTAGTTTTCATAGATTAGCTTCATAGATCAGTATTCTATGGGGCACACTTGAGGAGATTTCGAAATTACATCTAAGCCACTAAAGCCCTAATAATAAAATTATTTAAATAAATAAAGGCATAAAACCTAGTATGATGTTTTAGAATTACTTTAGAGTAGGAAAAATACTAAACTGGTAAACCTTTAGAAAATCTAACTTTGAAAGTCTTAAAAAAGGCAATTTATTTTCTTCACTTGTCTTCAGATAAAATGTCTCAGGCTCTAAAAATAAGTAGAAAATTGCACAACATGTAGGAGTCAGAAGCCAAAAGAGATGCAAATCAACAAGATGATTGATCTAAAAGATGTTTAACATTAAATTGCTTTCATTTTAGCCATCTTCTTACTAGAATGATTTTGCGAGTTTGGATCCCCCTGCTAGAATTTAGCTTTTTGTGCACCTTGCTTCAATAGATATCTGTTAGTTCAGTCAAACACTCATTGGTTGAGCATCTGCTATAAGTCAGGCATTATGCAAAAAAAAAGCAAATAGGTTCCTGCCCTTGAGGAGCTCATAGAGAAGAAGAGACACAGAGAAGTGAACTGGCAAATGACAACACAGGGTTGTGCATTTGGGTTTTCTAGGTAAGATGTGGGAGTTTAGGGGTAGGAGTCACTGATTGGAAGATTTGAGGAGTGCTTCATGAAAAGGAACATTCATGTGGGTCTTGAAGGATGAACAGGAGCTTAGCAGGTAAAAGGGAATAGTAAGGGAAGTTCAGCAAGTGAAACAGAGAAACAAAATGCCATGGTGTGGTCCTGGGGTTGACTGGTTAAAGCAAAGACTCTGGATCTCCTGTAGGGAGGCATTGGAGGAGAAAAATGAGAGAAGGAATTGGAAAAGTGGGTTTGTGCCACAGTGGGAAGAATTTGTAATGTGCTTAGTATTCTACACTTAGGATTTTGAACTTCATCCTATTGGCAGTGGGCATTAATTGAAGGTTTTTGAACACATATGTGACATGATTGGATTTGTATTTTAGAAAGATGACTGTAGTTTTTGAGTGGACGCTCATCATCATTGCCATCAGCAGCAGCAGCAGCATTGCTCACTAAGTGTTAGGTATTGTGCTGAGTGCTTTATATGTGTTATACAATTCTCACCACAAGCTTATGATGTATGCAGTGTTACCATTCTTTCCACTTTACAGATGAGGAACCTGAGGCATAGAGAGGCTAAGTAACCTGTAAGTGAGTAAGTGATGGAGCTGGCATTTGAAGCCAAGCAGGCTGGCTCCAGATTCCCTGCTCCTAACCTCTGTGCCATAGTCTATGGAGGTATTGTTCTAACTAGAGCGAAGATGACCCTCAAGATTAGTTGCGTGTAAGATTGGTGGGAAGGATGGAACCAGCTTATTGAAGGTCTTGAGACAATAAGAAGAGTTGATTTTAGGGCCCAGTTTCTCAACCAAAATAGTATTCTGTAGAAAGGAGACAATTTGAAGGCAGGGACAATGGTTGACAAGCTACTTTGGTGATCTACGGGAGTGATGAGGAGGATGTGATTTCTATCCTAGAGGATATCATAGTTAGGTGGGAATAGAGAAGAGGGGACATACCTAGGATTTCTTATCACCTCATTCAGTTTCCTGGAGACCACTATCTGGGTGGCTCATCAGTTTCCACAATAAAACTAATATTCTTGTTTTTAAGATAACTAGAACATCCTAAACATACCCTACACTAACAGCTAGCATTTATTGAATGTATACCATGTGCCAGGCATAGTGCTAAGTATTTTATGCACATCTTCTTCCTTATTTATTACGACCTTATAAGATCAGGACTATTACTATACCCATTTCCCAGATGATGAAACTGAGAGTAAGGATATTAAATAATGATTTTAAGTCATACAGTTAGTGAACGATGGCCCATGTAACAGCAATACCTCACACTTATTGATAAAAATCAGTATTTTTGTGGAATTAAATTCTGCATAATTGTAAATTATGTTCATTCACTTTTTTCATTTATTAATTCATGTAGCAAAATGCCTAGCACCATGCTAGGTGCTAAGCATATGGGAATAAACAGGTCAGATGAGATCCTTTTTGTTGAGGTGTTCATTCTAGTTGGGGAGACAGACAATAAAAATGTAAACAAATACGAATTTCAGACAGTGACAAGTGCCAGAAGAAAATAAAAGAGAGTAATGTGCCAGAGGGTGATGGGGAGGTATTGCAGGGAGCGTGCCTGCTTTGGTTGGGGTGGCTGGGGGCAGTCTTTGCCAGGGGGCTGAAGTGTAGTGAAAGAGAAGGAGTGAGATAAGAGATGAGGTCAAGGAGATAGGCAGGTGCCAGGCCATGCAGGACTTTGTAGGTTGTTCTACAGAGTTTAGATTTTATTCTAAGGCCATTGAGAGTCCACTGGATGAGTTAGAGCAGGGAGTGTTGAGATGCGAGCTATGGTCAATGGAAACCAATTGCAGCAAGGTCAAAGCGGAAACAGTCAGGACACACAAGTGGTCCAGGTGAGAGGATGAACAGTGATGCCAGTGGTTGATGAACCAGTAAGAGATGGTGGAGTCTGGGAGACATTTTTGATAGTAGAGATGGTAAGTTGAGCTGATCAAGAGGATGTGTGGAGAGAGAAGCCAAGGATCATGTTTAGGTCTCAAACTTACTCAGAAATCTGAGCCCAAAAGCTGCTGCCTGGGGTGGTAGGGAAGAAGGTCAATGATGGATTCAGTGTGAAGCTTGTAGAGAGTGAGCAGCCTGAAGCCCTTGAGCCCATGAGCAAGACTAGGGATGAGAATTTGGGAGGCTTCAACACACAGATGAAAAATGTGCTTACTACCAAGTTCCTGGACTGAGATAAAAGATCACTTTTATGTGTGTTAGTCACAGTTTTTTGTGAGCCTCTGTGTGCCTTACCAACGTCCGTCTCCCATCAACTTGGTGCATTTCTGGATTGCTGTAGAGAAAATTCTCTCATGATGACACCTGCTGACTCAGCAGGGATGTCAGTGTTGGGAGGTTTCACCCTTCACAGCAACTCAATTTTCTTTAAGCCTGATGGAGTGCTTCGTTCATTCACAAAAGCAGGATATAGGCACCTTTTCTGTTTGTCATTCTAATTAAAATTCCTGTAAGTAAAAACATTTGGTCTTTATTTCCTGAATTGCATGGTCTTTTAAATTTCCAGTGAATTCCTTTAGATTGGAAGAAAGATCGGCTGGTATTAAGACTGCCATTGACATCAACCCCTTCATTGCAGAACGCCCACTTGCCCTTTCCTGAGCACGCAGGCAAAAGATGCTTGTTTGAGTAAAATGGCAGACTTTGGGGGCCCTTCCAGTTACATCAGAAGATTTTTTCCAGTGAGTGGTTATAGTCAAGACTGATATAACTCCTGCCAGCTTATTAGCTTGCACTGAAAATTACTCTTACGTTGGATTTCTTTCAAATGGAAGTAATGTTGTTTTGTCACTTGAGGACAGCTGATATTGGCAATAGTTGTGTAGGTATACATGTCCTAAAGGGGGTGACTCTTCTGCCCTGTCTCATGTGGACATGTATGTTCCCATTGCAACATGCCAGAGCGGATATCACAGCACTCAGTGACATGGCACATGCAAGCTTATCCCAGCTTCCGCTGGTTGGAAGGGTTGCCTATTTTTCTTGGGGCTCTTAGGCTTTCAGTTTAATTCTCATGTATTATTGTAGGCTATAGAATATGCAGATAGTAACAGAGAATTACACCCAGTTAAATAAGGTATAAATATATGTGTTAACTAAAATT